GCTACACCTGTAGCTACCTCCACCAGTGTGTGAATGAATAGTGGAATTGTGCAGCACTTTGAGGGCCCCGAAAAGCACTATATAAATGCAATCCATTATTATCATTATTATTAAAACCACAGAGAGAGTGGTTATTAGAATTCATATAATAAAAACGTTATGTATTATCACAAAAAGTAACTTACATATATGCAATGTATGATGTGCATTTAATTTCAGAGCGAAGTTCAACACAGCCTTAGTGTTCGCTGGCTTGACTAAACATAACTTCAGTAGAAGATACCGGGTATCAGGATCGTGGTTATGAACTTTCTCTATTAAGCTGGATTCCCTGCTTCAGGCTCTGTGCACGCTGAGCAAAAAAAAAAAAGTTAACATGACTCTTTTTCTTTGCACAATTATTCCTGTGAGTGCCACTACTGTAGTACTCTACTCTACTAGAGACAAGGTCAGATGATGAGGATGAGACTAAAATGAAAAATTACTGCAAGTAAGATGAAATTTAAATGCTGCAGGAAATCACTAATCTTGTGAAGATAAAATAAATCAAGTGCACTCTCAGTGCTGCACTTTATTTCTAACATGCACGTCAGGGTCTGAGACTTTAAACTGGACATTAAACATTACTGTCTCACAGCCAAATAAGGGAGACATAGAAATCACTTTCATTTGTGAAATTACTTTTATCAGGTATTATTGATGTGCTTTCTGTGTTCTAGTGTAAAATAGATTTAGCAGCAGGTTAAAATTAGATTAAAAATACAACAATGTATGTATGTCATCAAATAAATATATGTACTTTCCTTTGACATGTAGTTTCAGTAAGGTATGAATTATATAAACTGTATTTCCCCTGTCAGAGAATGTGTATTTCACCTACAATGTGCTGTAAAATAAAGTATCTGTGAAATTGTTGCCCTTTTAGGGGATTTTATATCAAAACTTAGAACATAACCTGCTCCTGGTTAATGAGCTCAGTGTACGTTAACAAGTTATTTAGGAGGAACAAAAGAGAGCCACTTTCGTGACTGCAGAAACACAGTTACATTATAAATGTCTTCTCTTTTAACCCAAATAATTATCTATCTGTAAATGTAAATGTCTTTGAGCTTTGTGCCTTTTGTAATTTCCTGCTTTAATTTTCATTTCCAACAAATGAAAATCCAACAGAGCACCTTTGGACGTGATGTGACGGGAGATTTAAATCATGTGTACTGACATATCTGCTCTGTCCAATCATGTCAATATCAACCAACATCTTAGAGAAATTTTTCCAGCACTGTGTTAAATTTATACCATGAAGAATTAAGGCAGTGCTGTAAGCTAAAGGGTATACCTAACAAAGTGGCCAGCAAGTGTTTGCACTGTGGATGAAAGATCAGTCACAAAATGATAAGAGCTAGTAGGTAGCAGCAGAGGAGCTTCAGGAGGTGATGATTTCCATCTGACCTTTAATGTCACAGGATAAAAAACAAACAGTAAATATCCTCTGGAGACCTGAATGTTTGTCTGGGATGCATTTTTAATTTCTGCCTGCTATTTTGAAGCTTGGAAGTATAAACTAACCATCAAAGCTTTTGACTTGACTGTACGATGCTATCATGTCACTAAAAAACCTCTTAGGAATGTTTCCAGCACGTTTTTCAGTTTGCCCAACACAAGCTGTCTGACCTTTGACCTTTAATGTGAAAGGATGAAAAACTGTAAATATGAGCTTAGAAGTGAAAACAAGATCCATCGCCTCTGCTGTCAATGAACTTGTCCACATAAAAAAAAGAACACTGTTACACCTAAGATCATACAATCCAGTTTTAGTTGAGATCTAAAAAAAACACCTGCTTCCTCCTCTCCTTCCTCATTCTCTGGTAGGAGGGACTAAGACATGGAGAGAAGGATCAAGGATGTCCAAAGTGTGATATAAGACATTTAGACAGGTTGAGGTGGCGGTAGGCTGAGCAGAGTTTTCAGACAACTTTCTTCCCAGGCACACTTCCCATTTCCTTCTGGGGAAACCTGAGGCATTCCCTAGCAGGATCTGGGTCTTCATTGGGTCTCTTCCCAGTTAGGAGTGCCTGAAACAAGAGAGGTGCATGGAAGGGATCTCTACTGGCTCCTTTTCATACACAGGGGAAAGCAGCAGCTGTACTCTGAGATCCCTCTGGATGTTTGAGCTCCTTACCCTATCTCTAATGCTGAGGCCACCCACCCTGTGAAGGAAAATAAATATGGATGCTTGTATTCTGTCATTACCCAGATTTCATGACCACAAGGTGAGATGTAAATGGACTGGTAGAGCTTTGCCTTTGACTCAGGTCTCTCTTTACCATGACAGTTCAAAGTCAAAGTCAACTTTATTGCCACCTCTGCTATATCCAGTGCGGCATATAGACGAGATGACGAGGCTCCGGTTATCATAACCAGATATGAGAAGAGTAAGAAAATAAATATAGGAGGTTTATATCAGGAGCTCTCCTCTCTTCAGGAACTCACTCTGCAGGAGGGGGAGATATAGGAGAGGTGGAGGAAGATCTCAGCCTGGGCGTCTATTGTCTTGTGTAGTCTGGAAGATGAGTGGATGACGGGGTGGGTGCAGTTTTCTCTGTGGTGGGGTTGGGTGGCCAGGCGGTGCTGCTGAACTGGGCCCCGGTCCGGATGGGCCTGGGCCCCCTTTCCCTGGCGGGTCGCGGAGTATGGGGGTGCCTACTGGGGTCAGCGGGGGAGCTGGCCCCAGGGAGGGGTCACTTGCCCCTCCCTTCCTTCCCTCCCCATCTCCAGCTGCCTCCCTCTGCATTTTCTGGCTTTTGACTCTAACTGAGACTGTTATTTTATCATCATGTATTTATTGTGTTTTTGGTCATTCTGCTGTAAAGCACATTGGTCAGCCATGTGTTGTTTTTAAATTGCCATTTACATAAACTATTGTATGGAATGGTAACATTTACTGACAAGAAACTGTGCCACCATCCTGGAGCATCGGGCTCTTCAAAGTGCAGCGACAGGTTTTCATGTTTGTTCTTTAACCTACTTATACCACCACACAATGGTTTCAAGTGTTTCTAACAACAAGCCATTGATGTACTACAGAATGACATGTTTGTTAATACGGGGATTCACATGTTAATGTGATCTCTGGTCGCCCACTCAGAGACACAGCAGACAGCTACGGAAGGTGCTGAGGACACTCTTCATGTGAGAGAAAATCTGCTCACACAGATACGTATTTTGATGTCCTCTGTGTCCAGCCAATTAAAGAGATTCTTGGTTGGTTTCAAAGTTTGACTTTAGTTCAGATTACACGTTTGCTCAGTGTGTTTGTTCACTGTGGACTGATTCCAGATCAGATTATTCAGGAAAGATTATTCAGAAAGAGCAGAGTGGAGGAGAAATGCTCAGAAAACAACATCAGACTACAGCTCACAAAGTTTTTGATCAAAGAAAATTCATCTGTACAGAAAAACTCACTCATTTTGTCATTAATAATAACATAAAAGAATAAAATCTGTAATATAAATAAAGAGTTTCACAGTACATGCAGTGTTCAGACTGACATAAATAAAAGCTTCATATAATGAACACACACAGATGTATGAATGATGTGTCGTCTATTTAAACTACAGAAACAGTCTGAGGCTTTAGCTCAGCAGGAGGTCACGAGCTAACAGCGACACTCACAGTAGAAACAGGACACGTCTGTAATTTACATGTTTTATATGTTTTATAAAAGAAAAAGAGTCCAAATTTCTCACAGACTGACTTCCAGCTGGTGTTCATGCAGCTCATCAGGACAGTGAAGAGCTAAAGACAAACTTTCACCTGAAACCAGGATTAAAGATGAAAATGTTTTCTGGATGATCGTCGACGCTTTGCACCAAACAACAGGAAGAAAAAGACTTTTGGACTGAAAACATCTTTAGTTAAAGTCCAACATGTCCAAAGGAAAATGTCCAAGACTTTCACAAAGATGCTGAACAACAAATTCAGGATGTCCTCGTGTGTCTCTCCACTGGATGATCTGTGTCACCTCTGAGAAGCTGGAACAGCAGCAGGAGACTCACGAATCAGCTGGAAAACCTCTGAGACAGGTTGGTGATCCTTGTTTGTAGATCAGAAAACCAATGACAGCAGCAACAAGAAGTGACACACTGAGCATCACTCCAACAGATTTTCTTGTCTGACCTGCAGGTGAGAAACAGGTGTGAGGTGTCAGCTGTCAGGTAGGTGATGAGTGAAGAACAGAACAGAATCCATTTCCTCTTCAAACTGCTTCAGACATTATCTACTGCACTCTGATCACATCACTCAGACCAGCTGCTTTCTACAAAGTCTCATCAACAACATCTTTAGAAACAAACATCAACAACCAGGAAGCAGCTTCACCTCTGATCACACACACACTCAACTCTACTCACTCACCTGGAGGATCAACAACTCTCAGGTAGATGATGCTGATGGGGTCAGTCTTCAGATGAGCTCTTTTCCTGCGTTCTTTCCCTCCCATGAAGACTCGACACTCATATGTTCCACTATCAGCAGTCGTCACATCCTTCAGAATCAACACTCGGTTCTTAAAAGATGGATGCTGCTCTTCTGGTTCAAACTGCTCATCTCGGTACAAAAGCACATGTTCTGACTCCAGATCAGTTCTGCTCCACTCTACTACTGTGATGGTTTTGTTCTCATTTGGAGCTCAAGACGGCAGCGTGACGTTCTGTCCAGACTCGGCTGTGATGATTTTCTGATCTGAAAGAGGTAACAACACAAAACAGAGAGGTTAAAGGTCAAAGTTTGAACTGTTCGCAACTACAGCAGCCAATCAGAGAGAGGATAAGAGGTCACTGTCCCCTGATTGGCTAACCTCAAACCAGATTAATAAATAAATGTCACATTAAATCAAAGTTTCACTTTTTTTTTTAAAAGTAAACTTATGACATATACGTTTTTGTTCCCACTGCATCTTCAGCCATCTGCCACTAGATGACGCTGTAGCCCCTCATTATTAGCTCTGTTCAATTGGCTGTGAATACATTTAGCTGTGGTCACTTATAGAGATGATTGTCATGAACTGTAGACATGCTGCAGTCCCATGTTTCTTTTTAGATGTTAAAACGGCTAACTTAATATTAGATCAAATCTGATATTTTAACATTAGATGAACATCTTTTGTAAGAAGATTAGTTATTTAAAGGCTTTTTCCCCTTCACTTCAAACTATAACCTAATGTGTTTATAATGTACATGTCTGCACAGTGAAGTGACATTTGAGGATTTATGGTAGAAAAATGTAATCGGTGGTTTCACTTCACACAGTCTGACATTGAGATCAGTGAGATCATTAACAAGACTGGCTACGATACCGACTACGGAACGGAGCAGTTGTCAGCCACCTCCTGTACATGGATGACATCAAGCTGTATGCCAAGAGTGAACGAGACATCGATTCACTGATCCACACTACCAGGCTATACAGCAATGACATTGGAATGTCGTTCGGACTGGAGAAGTGTAGTCGGATGGTAACAAAGAGAGGGAAGGTAGTCAGAACTGAGGGGATTGAACTACCAGAAGGCAACATTGCAGACATAGAGGACAGTTACAAGTACCTGGGGATCCCGCAGGCAATGGGAACCATGAAGAGGCCGCTAGAAAAGCTGCAACCACCAAGTACCTGCAGAGGGTCAGGCAAGTCCTGAGGAGTCAGCTGAATGGTAAGAACAAGATCCGGGCCATCAACACGTACACCCTGCCCGTGCCCGTACACCCTGCCCACAGAGGCACTAATCATGGCAGCACAAGAACAAGCTCTGAGTACAAGATCCATAGAGGCTGGGGTCTATCACACCAGGCAAGACCCCAGGTGCAGGCTGTGTAAAGATGCCCCAGAGACAATCCAGCACATAACAGCAGGGTGCAAGATGCTAGCAGGCAAGGCATACATGGAACGCCATAACCAAGTGGCCGGCATAGTGTACAGGAACATCTGTGCCGAGTATAACCTGGAAGTCCCGAGGTCAAAATGGGAGATGCCCCCAAGGGTGGTGGAGAATGACCGAGCTAAGATCCTGTGGGACTTCCAGATACAGACGGACAAAATGGTGGTGGCTAACCAACCGGACATAGTGGTGGTAGACAAACAGAAGAAGACGGCCGTAGTGATCGATGTAGCGGTTCCGAATGACAGCAATATCAGGAAGAAGGAACACGAGAAGCTGGAGAAATACCAAGGGCTCAGAGAAGAGCTCGAGAGGGAGGTCGTGGCCCCGTTATCGGCTGCTGCCCCCGCGACCCGGCCCCGGATAAAGCGGTGAAGATTGATTTGTGTGTGTGTGTGTGTGTGTGTGTGTGTGTGTACTTGTTTTCGTGACATCTTAGGACAATTTTATGATAACACACTCACAAAATGAGGACGCTCAGAAAAATGAGGACATTTTTGAGGTCCTCATTTTTCTGAGCCTTCTAAAGTGTTCTAGAGGCTCCCAACATGCTCCCAAACCAAAAATCTCGGAAGTCCTGAAACATCACAATTTTATGAAAAAGTGTGTTTAAGTGTGTTTAGCGTTTTTGCTCACTTTCAGTTTCACCGCCTACTGGCCAGTTTTGGAACTTAACACACTTTAAACACACTTTCAGTGACATCACTCTGCGAGTCCTCATATTGTAGGTGTGTCAGACACAATAACACATTTGACCCAGGTTATACCCTTCTAGGGCTTAGCGGACACATGCGTGGACAGCACCTTTTAGCTCTTATGTCCACAGTCGTATTCAATGTTGAAATGGAGGTGAAATTTATTTGAAACATTCGTGGAATAGTAACAGATGAATTTTGAGGCTTCTGAAAATTGTTCGTTCACACCTTGCCAATTAAACAATCATTCTAACACACATCAAAAACTTTTCACATTTTTATACATATTAAGGTGAGCTCTAAACAAGGGTAACAACAGTTAAATCAGGCAAATCTTGACAAAAATGAAGGTCTTTAGATTCAGTTATCAGTGCCTGCACAGCTTGGTTTCTTTTGTTGTTGACAAAATGTATCGAAATATAAAGTTTCAACATTTGTCTAATTATATTACTATTAATTAATGAGTCTTACTTCTCAAGATCAATGCACAAATTGTCTGACCTTCACTATGCAGAATGATGTGTGTGCAGATTTTGACCCTTGAAGAGTTTATATTAATCTGCATTAATATAATTGCATCTGCAATCTGCAGTTGAACTTGGAGATTCCTGCCGCTGTCATCTGATTCAGTATGATCATCAGGCTCAGTCTCGACTCTGTGTATCTACAAGAATTGATGAAAAAAGTCAACACTTTATTAATTATATTTTAAATTCAACTTACCTTATACTTTTTACAATATAGTATAAAATGCATATTGTTTCTTTAAAAACTAATAACACACTATTAAAAACTGCAGAATGCACAATTCCAGCTTCATTTAGTAATTCAATTAGTAAATAAAAGTGAGTAATTAAGTCACTTAATTAACTAAGCAACTGTAAATGTCACAGTA